ATAATTTATTAAAATTAAATTCACAACAACAATAATTACTTATGTCATTATATAATACTTCAAAGCATAACATCACGTTATGTATACAACTAAGTAAAAGTACAAATATTTGATTTGAGTTGCCCAAGCAATTTCTCACAACGAAAATTTTGGCGAATTACTAAGGCCCGTATTAATAAACGTTACTCAGCTCAAGTACACGCACTTAAGTACAATCTTAAGATTATGATCTTATTAATAAACGTAATATCTCAATATGCGTCTTAGGTTTACGATATCAGCTAAGTGTCACACTGATTAATAAACGAAACTCGCCTCTCAAGTGTATGTACTTGTGATACTAAAATCTGAGTGCGGGCAGTCCGTGACTTGAGATCGTGAATGTTGATATGGAGATAGAAATTAGTTTAAGAGTAAGAGAAATTAATTATTACACAATTTAAAAAATGATACAGATTTGGTCAAAACTCATTAATATATATTGTTACATTAATAAAAGACTCAATGGAGAAATACAGCAACAGAGGTCTTCCGATTTCTCCAGAAATAGCTGCCTCAAATCAATCTTTATGTTTAGATTTTTATTTTACTTGACGTTTCTGAGGTCCGAAGCTGCCATTTGACGCTGTTTACGTCGAACAATCCTCAAGAGTACTTGTTTGTCACTGTTCTTTTTTTTTAAAGTCCCGCTGGGTTTCTTGCTGGTTCTTTCCAGGACAATGGTATTTCGGAACCAGTGGTAAATTAAACATAAGAGTTACTTTTAATAAGTATAATTAATAATATATATTAAAAAAGGTTCTATTTCTACCATAACTGCGACGGTGGCATTTAGGTAAAGGTAGCCTTTAGTCCATACACGCTCTTTCTCAATGAGAGAATGGAACTGGAGTCCTTCACCCTTCTCAGAAGGCCTTTCAACAACTGTAGCTCATTGTTTGAAGTTAGCTGCAGGTGTACATACAGCTTCCCAGAATGAATTCCCGCCTTGTCGTGGCGGGAGGGCGTAGTAGCCATGGTTTAGCACCCCGCGGTGAACAAAGTGGAACCCCTTGGCTGGCCCGTGGTGGCCACTCCGAGTGGACTTGGCAAGCCCACTTCGGATGTGTGTCGGTGGGCTGCGGTGAAAGGGATGTACTCTCCCCCTACCGCTGCAAACGAGGTGGAGTCGCGGAGGAAGAGGAGTGTTGGTATGGCGATGCGCCACTCGCCCTATCCTCTGCGACTCTGACGGGGTCGCACCGTTGATGCGGTGGTGGTGGGGCCGCGGGTGGATAGGAGTGTCGGTATTGCGAGGCGAAATTACTAATACTCTTAAAATATCTTACTTATTCTAAACATATAAATAAAATTGAGTATGTCTGTCTGGAATATCGAAATAAATGTCGATCGAGCTCGGTGGATTATTTGCATGCTATTAAGACATAAGCAAACATTTTTTAACTATCTGTTTGTCTGTCTATTCAGTCTAATCTTCGGAATGGCTGAACTTATTTACCGAAATAATTTATCCGAAAATCTTGTTTTTTTTAAATTATGATCTATGATTATTTTGAATCTAAATAACGCTGACATCGCACTGTCACAACGGTCACTAGTATAACAAAATAAAACTAATATAAAGAAGTTATTGACAATACCATCTGTATCTCAAAAATGTAGAAAAAAATTTCAAGTTCATGCTAGCAGCCATGTTAAATGAAATAAAAAAGTGAATTATTAAGAGTTTTAATTAATTTCCGACACAGATCTCAATATTTTTCTATATCTTTCCTTTTTACTTCCATAAAATTAATCCTTTGTATTAAAAATATTTTAAATATTGGGTGACCACATAATATAATAACTATACTTATTTAATAACTGAAACACTCTTAGTTAACATCAACAAACAACAAAGGTTTTTATAATTTGCTAAATATATGGGATTAGGCAGACAGAAAGACAGACATAGACATTTTTATATCTGTTTTGCTGAATTGGGCACAGAACACTCATTTATTACATACAAATATAATCTGTAAAATACTTGACATATTATTTAAATTGTTTACAATACAATAAAATCTTTAACTTGTAAAAATATACTTTCTTATATATAAAATTTTAAATAATTTGACACAGAAAAATAGACTTTACGTTGTTAAGCACTACGCTCAATTTCTTTTGAACGGGCTATAAAGTGGCAAAGTTCGTCACAATCTTCCCTTGCGAGTTTCCAAGTAGCAGCAGATTTCTAATCACTATTGAAAATAATAAAAAAAATTGCGGTTGCCAAACCGCATGCCAAGAGTGGTAGCAAAATAGCAAAATCCTCTCTATTTATTTTTTATTCAGCTTATTATTGATATCGATCAATAATAAACTGAATAAAAAATACATAAATGGAAATGTTCTTATTTTTACTTTCTGAACCGAGCAGATTTCTGTATGATCACTGATCAGCTGAAGATCAGCTGATCAGCTTTTTTTAAGAAATATAAAAAAAAGAAACAAAAAGAATCTTGATAAACAAATTTCATTGGGACCAACGGATATCGAGCTGGAGTTTCGAGTAGGTGTAGAAACTAAAAATTATTTTTATATTTAATTCGCGTACATCGCAAATTGAAATACATATTCATTGTTAAAGGAGAGGAATGAAACTTATACATATCTCTCCCAATTTGTCTTTCGGAAGGTGCCAAAAATGTGCATAAAAAATAGTGTGTAAAAATATAATTAGCATACACATATGATTAATCAAGCCTGGGCTGCGGCTTCGGCGACTCGGGATGTAAATACCAGCACACTTAAAAAGAAGTATAACTTCGCCTCCAGGTCCTTCAAAAGAGTTATTTATTTAGTTTTAGTTAGAATTGGCGAGAAACTAGTTCGCCTTCCTTCGGGAACCCGTGCATTCTGGTCTCTCGCCAAGGCAGTCCAAGGGAATTTCTGTAAGCCATCACTACCATCTCTGCACAGGGAGGATGACTCACTGGCCCATGACGAAAAAGACAAAGCCGACCTTTTAGGCTCCCTTTTTGCGTCCAACTCGACTCTTGATGACGGGGAGAAAACACCGCCGACCATCCCGCGGTGTGAGTGCTCCATGCCGGATGTGCTGTTCTCACAGCGCTCGGTTCGCAAAGCACTGCTCTCCCTGGACATCCAGAAGTCGAGTGGGCCTGACGGAATCCCCCCAATTGTGCTGAGGACGTGTGCTCCGGAGTTGGCACCGGTCCTAACGCGTCTTTTCCGGTACTCCTACTCCCAAGGCGTAGTCCCGAATTCATGGAAGACAGCTTTTGTCCACCCGATCCCTAAAAAAGGCGACCGCTCAGACCCATCCAACTATAGGCCTATCGCGATCACCTCCTTGTTCTCCAAAATAATGGAATCCATTATTAACTGCCAGCTCATCCGGTACCTTGAGGATCACCAGCTGATTAGTGACCGCCAATACGGTTTTCGTCGGGGTCGATTAGCTGGTGATCTTCTGGTCTACCTGACCCATAGATGGGCGGAGGGAGTAGAGTCCAAGGGGGAGGCGTTAGCCGTTAGTCTGGACATTGCGAAGGCCTTCGATCGGGTTTGGCACAAAGCGCTTCTTTCGAAGCTCCCTTCCTATGGGCTTCCCGAGAAATTGTGCAATTGCATCACCAACTTCCTTGCAGATCGGAGCATCAAGGTCGTTGTAGACGGTGCATGCTCTGACTACAAGCCTATTAACGCTGGTGTTCCACAAGGCTGTGTGCTATCACCAACGCTGTTTCTTCTGCATATCAATGATATGTTGCTAACTGGTAACATTCATTGCTATGCGGATGACAGCACTGGTGATGCTCTATACACCGGCCGTGCCAATATTTCTCGGGAAAACGTCGCTGAGTACCGGAACAAACTTGTGTCTGAAGTCGAGTCTTTGCTGAACAAAGTTTCGGATTGGGGGCGACTAAATCTAGTCCAATTTAATCCTCAGAAGACACAAGTTTGCGCGTTTACCGCTAAAAATAACCCCTTTGTCGTATCTCCTCAGTTTCAAGGCACTCCCCTTCTTGCCTCAGCCAGTATCGGTATCCTCGGAGTCGACATATCGAGTGACGTGCAGTTTCGTGGTCACTTGGAAGGGAAGGCCAAATTGGCCTCTAAAAAGCTTGGCGTGCTCAGCAGAGCGGGACAGTATTTCATGCCGGCACACCGCCTGCTACTTTACAAGGCGCAAGTTCGGCCTCACATGGAATACTGTTCCCATCTCTGGGCAGGGGCTCCACAGTGCCAGCTCCTTCCACTTGACCGCATCCAACGCAGAGCGGCTCGAATTGTCGAAGACCGAGCCCTTTCCGATCGGCTCGATTCATTGGCACTGCGAAGAGATGTTGCATCCCTTTGCATTTTCTTTCGCATCTACCATGGGGAGTGCTCTGAGGAATTGTTCGGATTAATCCCAGCCGCCAAATTTCACGAACGCACATCGCGGCAGAACTCCCGATACCATCCACACCATCTGGATGATTGGCGGTCCACCATGTTTTCTTCCTCGCACGACCTTCTTGTGGAATCGATTACCAACAGCGATTTTTCCGGACCGATACGACTTAGGGACCTTCAAAAAAAAAAGCGCACTCCTTTTTAAAAGGCCGGCAACGCATCTGCGATTCCCCTGGTGTTGCAGTTGTTCATGGGCGGCGGTAGTCACTTACCATCAGGTGAGCCGCATGCTCGTTTGCCCCCTCTCCTATAAAAAAAATTATTCCATACAAAACGCTGTAGCCAATAAAATGAAAGTATTTTCATGACTGTATGATCTAAGATACCTTTGCCTTCACTGAGAAAATATTATATATTATAATAAAATATTTATATAGTATGACGATTAGAGTGCAGCAGCGGGTTTTTACGAGCTGATGATGAAGAAGTAGAATCTAAATATATATATTTTAATTTAGGCGCTGATGTAATGATATGATAAGTGGAAGATGAAAAATGATTTCATTTGAACGTCTTGCATGTGGAACGTCTTATATCTGGTACTCTGTGTAATTCCAGTTCCAAGTTTTGTTCACGCGGTTGTCACTAATCGCTGGGTTCATCTGCTTGAGCGGCTCCTATAAACAGACATGTGACTTCATAAATAAATGTTATCCCCACACTAAGAATTTATAATTTATGGTGATTTACTGGTGGTAAATTTCGTTTTTGTCTACGGGTCCTAGTATATGTAATATATAATAAATTTGGGTGCTATAATAAAGCCTTTTTGATGTATGTTCTTATGCATGTTATGCCTATAATTTGCACTTTGAAGCGCTATATACACGAAAATTTGGCGGCTAAAATTTTATCAAGAAATTGTCACAAACAATGGGGTGAACCCCATTATAATGGATTTCCGCAAAGTAACGCCTGATTCTATTAATTAATTGTCACAAAACTTCTTGTAATAATTCTCTTGATCTATCTAATCTAATTATTTAAGAGCACTTTTACATTTCACATCAAAAAGCTAAGAAGAAGCAGATCAAGTAACATACCTGATACTCCCGTTTGCCAATCTCAACATTTGGATCCCTTTCACACACCTGGGGAACCAGGTTGAGAGGTTCATATTCGTCAGACACCCCACTGTCGGGTGAGTCCGGGATATGAACAGAATTTATATAGCCCTTTGGTTCCACTCGGCTTTTGTGTACGCAGTAGTCACCAGTAAAAGGATTCTGATATGCCACCACAGTCCTACAAAAATCAATGAGTAAATAAAAGAGTAACGGCTATCACACCATGACGTATGGTGGCGTTAGAGAACCCGTCATCCCGTTTCGTCTCATGGGCGTCGTAATAGGCAACTATTTTTTTATAGGATAAGGGTGACAAACGAACACACAGTCCACCTGACGGTAAGTGGTTGCTGTGACCCATAGACATTTATCCTGGTATGCAAATCAAAATGCAGATGCGTTGTCACACGTAAGAACTAAGATGGTATGCCTCTTTTCCAGTAAATAGGGTCTCCGGTTCTCTACCCTCACCATACGAAACACAGCAGCATTAAGCTGCTATTTTACGCTGGTATTCTGTGAGAGCGCGGTCCTTCCCCGGTCGAGCCGACCCATTCGTGCTACAACTATACTATTAATATAACTGCAGCATGGCTCTACCACGTAAAAAAACCGTAAACAAAGTGTTTTATTTTCTAGTTGTAATTCGGAAGACAGCAATCCTCATCTCCTGATTTGATTCCTTCTGTTGTCTCTTACGGTACCCACGGGACGATATCGGGTATTTGATATTCTTATACCTCCACTACACGGTATATTAGAACTTCAAGGCAACGAATACCCTAGCATAAAATTTTAGGTTGGCTTCATTTCTTTAGTTAATATTTATTCTACCGAGAGAAAACCAATACATTAGCAATTTAAAAATGTTTTTTTAAATAACTTTACAGTTTATTCTTACCTCAGTTCCGCATTCGATTCGCCTTCTTTTCTGTGAGAAAACAACACTCTTGTTGGTTTAAGTAAGATGGCCCCCTGAAAAAAATACTTAATTCAAATAAAATATGTAATAATAATGGCTTTTTATACCCGGTCATTCAAGTGCTTTTTTGTCTATTTCTATCTATATTCTGTAATGTTAATGCTGTTAGCCTATGAGGCTCTTATAGCTTCACCCGACTCAGGGCTATAAAAGGGGAAGGGGAAGGGGGATTATTAATTTCGTCATTTTCGCAACGTTGCACTAAAATCGATAAGCTAGGGGTGGGATTTACTGTGTTCCGTATCGTTCGTATTCTGGGCGGTGAGAACCACCCAGGAACGCGGGTGTACGGTGTGTACGCGGTGTGAAGGGGTACCTATACCATATATTGATGGAATGTGTTCGATTTGAGTCTATTAGAAGTAATTTCATAAGGGTCTTGAATTTAAACAGAACTGACGTAGGCACATTCCATAATATTCTATCCCAACCAAATGGCGACGATGCGAAAGTTCTGTTCGAATCCATGGCCCATGTAGTTATTAAGTAGTGTTATATGAGTAAGTCATGTATATTTGGGTATGATGGGACTGACATACCCTAAGCGGTAAATGTCCCTTAAATTATAATAGAATAAAAAAAAAAAAAAAAAAAAAAACAACACTCTTGTTGGTTTAAGTAAGATGGCCCCCTGAAAAAAATACTTAATTCTAATAAAATATGTAATATTAATGGCTTTTTATACCCTGTCATTTTTTTTTATAGGATAGGGTGACAAACGAGCACACAGTCCACCTGATGGTAAGTGGTTACTGTGACCCATAGACATCTACATCTATCCTCAATAAAGACTCAAGATGCAGATGCGTTGTCACCCGTGAGGACTAAGATGGTATGCCTCTTTGCCAGTAAAAGGGGTCTCCGGGTCTCTACACTCACCATACGAAACACAGCAGCGTTAAGCTGATATTTTATGCAGTTATGGTTTTCTGTGAGAGCGTGGTCCTTCCCCGGTCGAGCCGAACCATTCGTGCTATAACTATACTACTAATATAGTTGCAGCATGGCTTTACCACGTAAAGCATGCAAGTGCTTTTATGTCTATTTCTATCTAGATTCTGTGATGTTAATGCTGTTAGCCTATGAGGCTCTTATAGCTTCACCAGACTCTGGGCTTTAAAAGGGGAAGGGGAAGGGGGGATTATTTATTTCGTCGTTTTCGCAACGTTGCACTAAAATCGATAAGCTAGGGGTGGGATTTACTTTGTTCCGTAATCACATCATCAACACATCAACATCAAATACTCCTTGATGCCGCCGAAAATCACAACATACCATGAGTCGGGATCACAGCTCTGATGGCTAAGTCGTATCGTTCGTGTTCTGGGCGGTGAGAACCACCCAGGAACGCGGGTGTACGGTGTGTACGCGTTGTGAAGGGATGTGCGGCGCGCCCGTCTGCGGACTAGCTGCGTCCCATCCGTTTTTGTCCTAATAGTATTTGTGACACTAGGTGATTGTGTAGCATTTGTCTGTTACTGGCCGGCAACATTACGGACGTCGGAATCTAGCGGAACAGGGGGTTCGATTAGAACGTTGCTGGGCCTTCGTAGGGTTTACACAACGTTTGGAGTCGGTTGGGATGTGTCTCGGCGCCATTCCGATATCCTAGAAATATTCAGAGATCGAAGGAAGTTAACAGTCACTCTGTAAGTCGGAGTTTTGCTGGTACCACCGAGTTCCGGTGTCTATGTGAATAAATCTATTTTGGACGACTTAAAGGTCGTACAAATGAGTATGGTTTGCGTGCGCGAAAACTACGCTTTCGTAAGACATTATAGCTCTTACCCACGCTTTGTAAAGATGGAGCTTGTGTCTCAAGGACAGTTTCATCTTGTTGTTAACTAGCGGGTGGGGCGACTTGTGATGAATTTTTCATGGTTGCGGACATTGCGAATGTCATACCATGGTCGAATGTGACCCCTAGATATTTGGCCGTTGATTGCCAGATCTGCTGGCCGTACAGGGTGATCGTAAGAGGGGAGTCTTTGAATGTATATTGCTACACTTTTCTCAAGATTAACTTCGATTTTCCATAAGCGGAACCAATCGCCTAAGCGATTGATGGTTGTTTGCAGCATTTCTGTGAGGATTCTTCTATTATGATGGGCGACGAAAAGTACCGTGTAATTGGCAAAAAAGGCAGTATTCACTACTGGATCTTTCATGATGTCACTCGTGAAGAGTTTACAGTCTTTACAGAGAAGAGGGGTGAGGATGAAGCACTGTTTCACTTCATTTTGGAGGTTGCGCAGTCGAAATTTGTTGTCTATAGTACGATAGTGATCTTACTATCTTAGGGCCGCGTTCTTTTCTCTGATTGGCTGAACATCACTCGGAAGCTTCCAGTATCAATCACTCAACACACAAACCTTACGAGAGAATTCTTTAACTGTAGAGGTGAGGTGGGCCGATAGCGCGCTAATCGCCTCATTAGCCTCCTCTGGCGAAGTTTAGCCGCTAGGTGAGATCGAACAATGTGTTACTATTGGGATTGCTTGTAAGCGAGTTTCAGGAGGAATGCTTACTGTTGAGTTCTGCAGCTATTAAGATACTGGAGCCTAGACTAAATAATTCTGCAATGTCCTATTCGATTATTATAATACGAAGGAGGATGAGCCTTGTGGGACGGGCTTCGATTTAAGGGCCTGGGGAGGCGGTAGTGGCCGTGAGGCTACAAGTGCCGGTGGTTTCATCCAAGCGTTGGGTTATGGCGCAGAAGGCGCGGGAGTGTTAGCACCTTGCGACTGGGGCTGGCTTGGTGGCAATTTTAGGCAAGGAAGTGGGCACCGTGGATGGTGTGGGTTTGGGGGCAGGCAGCCGAGAGCAAGACACACTGGCTACGCACTAACCTACGCGTCCTGGACGGCTTCTACCTCCACGCTGCTTTCTTCGCGGCGCTTTAGAACACCTGTGATAATTCGCTGGATGTCCCTCTTCGCGGCAATTGACGCATCTCGGGGGTTCAACCGTCTCGTGCATGTGGGGACAGTCACTGGTGCCGTGGTCACCAGGGCACTTGACGCACCTAGGCCTGGCGTATCAATTTTTGGCCGAGTGGCCGCACAATTGGAATCGGTGGCACTGGCACTGGGCACTGGCGCCGAACGTTAAAATTCTTCTTGCCTTCAGGAGACAAGTCTAAAATGACAAGGCAAAGATCAAAGAAACGCTTTTTGTTAGTCTGGTGGTGCATTCTATGCCCTTCTCGGACCTGGAGTTTTCGGGCTTTGAGGTCGTTTTGTGCTAAGTCTCAAGCTCTTTGGAAAATCGCGGTCGACCACACGAAGGTTACGCTCCTCTGGGAGGGCGTATGTGTGGAAGCTTATTTGCTGGGTGCGCAGGTGGTTTGTTACACTGCGGAATTCCTCGGTCGAGTTTACAAACATACAAATGCCCTGACTGGCATTTTGTACCTTTGCGCAATAGATTTTTTTGGAGTTCAACCAGTATGAAAGGTTGCTCCATTTTGTTTTGTCTTGGACTATGATGGGACGCGGAGGCTTTACCCTACGTTCAGCAGGGGACCCATTAGCTGCGGGCTTGGCCGCAGGCTTGGGGGCTTAAGCTTGTGTCGCGGGGGCTGGTTTTTGTGTTAGAGTGGCGGTAGGAGACGAGGGGGCCGAGTTAGGCTCGGCTGCATTTTTTGAGGCAGCGCGTTTAGGCTTTTTGCCCTGGACGAGGGTAAAGCCTTTGTCTTCGTGCTTGAGGGGGACGCGCATGTTGGTGTTCATGTCTGAACCTGATTCAGCATCCAAGAAGACCGGAGACGGGCCGCGGGTGGACATCGCAAAAGGCGCGGGGGTTGCGGCGTCGTAAATTATGTCTATGGACACGGGGATTGTAGGTCCGTTGGTGGGCGACAGGGGGTCGTTAATCCACACAGTCAGACGGTGATTAGGAGGCCAGACACGCTGGGTAGACGGGCCGGCTTGAGGCGCGGACTCGAGCATTTGCTCGAGCGCGGGATGGGCATTGAGCTGTGCGAGGAACACAGCCCATATATCGTGGCAGACTTGACTAGAAAAGTCATCGAGTTCGTTGATTGTTATCGACGTCATTTTGTTGTACTACTAGACAGCACAGGTATGTACCAAGCTTCTCCACCTTTCGGCGGGGTAGGTGTGTGCCTAAAACAAACACCTAGCGCGTTGGTATGCTAGGATGTATGCCTAGTTGCTGCCTTCAATAAGCAACACAAAAATTAAAAACGATGGCTGCCTCTGAGGTGGCGGTTGTGTTTCACTTTACTTACAGTTGCCGATACCAGTACCAGGAAGCCAGGAAGGAGAGTTATGTACAAACACTCTTTGGACCACAACAAGCGTCTGATACATTTCGCAACAACACAGTGAGACCGTCGCCCGGGACAGCGTGCTTTGCGCATCACAGTGAGAACATCAAGGCAGCAACCGAACACAGAGCTCCAAGTAAAAAAACAAAGCAGTGGTATAACAATTGTTAATACTTCTTTCTCTTCGTACATGCCGTTTAATAATAATTCATAAATATTTCTGTTATTTCCATTGCATAATGTGTTAAGGGATTTTGCTATGGGGAAATGCGGCTGATTTAGTAACTATTTTTGTGTTGCAGAAGAGGGCCCCAAGAGCTATTTACAACCTTAAAACGAGAGAGTCTCTTCGAGAAAATTTTAAAGAAATAAATATACTATATTTGGCCTCTCAGTATATTCACGAAAATTTAATGTTTGTTTACAAAAATAAATAAAATTTCTTACGTGGTAGAGCCATGCTGCAGCTATATTATGGTTGTAGCACGAATGGGTCGGCTCGACCGGGGAAGGACCACGCTGTCACAGAAAACCAGCGTAAAATAGCAGCTTAACGCTGCTGTGTTTCGTATGGTGAGTGTAGAGAACCGGAGACCCTTTTTACTGGCAAAGAGGCATTCCATCTTAGTCCTCACGGGTGACAACGCATCTGCATCTTGAGTCTTTATTGAGGATAGATGTAGATGTCTATGGGTCACAGTAACCACTTACCATCAGGTGGACTGTGTGCTCGTTTGTCACCCGATCCTATAAAAAAAATAAAGATTTTAGTAAAAAAAGTGATATACACTCTGTAAACACTAGGAACAAACACAAGCTAGTGATACTAGTATCTCGTTTGCTCAGAGTCAGTAATTCATTATTGGGGCAATGTATACGCTATTACAACAAAGTCTCAGAAAACATACAAGGTCTCTATTACCAAGTTTAAATATTTAATTTAACAAAAACTGTATAAAAAGGGTAATTATAAATGAATACATGGTTGATAATAACCCCTGGGAATAAGGTGGTTACTTCGAAGCTGTTTCTAAAATAAATTTTGTAAATAGTTTGTAATCATTTATATTGTAAATTTTTTTTAAATGTCCCGCGAGGTATATTTCTGACTGATTGTTCTTCCCAAGAAAAAGATTTTTTTCGAACCAGTGGTAATGTAAAAATGCCTTTCTATAAGAATTACTTGTAATCCATATTGAATAAAAATTATTCTATTCTATTCTATTCTAATAATAATATTGTCCACCAGACTAAATTTCTGTCATGACGGCCCGTATAAACGGAGACTAGCCACCTGTGCAGCACAGAATTATAGTGTTCTAATGTACGAGTATAAGCATGCAGATGCACTCTCTATTTCCTCATTTTTATATTTCGATGCATTGCAATTCTCTGTACTTAGGAATATTACAAGTTAACACCTAGCATGTCATCTAAATACATTAAAAACGTTATTCCCAATTCATCCATCCCGATGGTTGGTCGTTTTATTGTTAAGTATAAGTTTATATGGGATCACCTCTGAAGTATTTTCTCAATTTCAGTACAGATGACTTAGCTATACTTGACACGCTTGGCAGACAGGTTGTTAACGGTTTTTTTTTTAATTTGAGCTGTTATTATGACGAAACTGCTACCCATCTCTTTTTTCAGTTGCCTTTTTAGAAATCCACGGGACGATATGAGCTAGTAGATATTCTTACCCGCCACTACACGGGGTTCTTTTGCTAACGACTTATTAAAAGAAAAAAGGCAAATTTTCATTCCCTAAAAAACCACACACGAACATATTACAAAAAGGAGTTTAGTAAATTTAGAGCCATGTAACAGCTAAATTACAGTTGTAGCACACATTTGTTGGCCCGACTGAAAATTGAGTATGGAGGACAGGAGACCCTTTTTACTGGAAACGAGGCCTTCTATTTTAGTCCCCAGAGGTGCATTGTCACCTCTGAGGACTTCATTATGATTCCTTATCGAGGAGATATATCTACTAGCTGGCCAGGCAGACGTTGTACTGCCCTTAGCGGTGAACCTATGTACTATAAATATGCTTAAATTTGCAATAAAAAATACTGAGGGTTACTTATCGGGATCAAAACTATCGTATCTCTTAAGTTGGACCAAACTGCACAAGTGTGCACAAATTTAATTGAAATCAGTTCAGTAGTTTAGGAGTTCATCGCGGACAAACGATGCTTTAGTCTTTAGTTAAAAGAACATTTCTTAAACCACAGTTCAAATCCCAGACTAACTAACTAACTAACTTTTTTATTAATGAAATGTAAGATATTAATTGGTCATGTTGTTCTGGTAACAGATAATCCTTTTATGATTGTTTAGATTTGAAACTTAACAACTAGGACACAGCTAGTTCTGTAGAGTCTATTCTCATCATGTGTTTATTATTTTGCTATTTATTGTTATCATTTATTTTAAATTTATTAAGATAGACTACTGCTCGAAATACTCTAAACAGACAAAACGGGCCTTACTGCAAAACAGCGGCTATGGTTCGCCATGCCAAATGCTGAGTACGATCCCTTCTCGTCACGTTCGACAACGTCTATAACTATTTAGTACGTGCGTAATAGTAATATTTAGTAATTTGAATGGGAATTATTATTTCCAATATGTCGCTGTAATTCTGTGGTGATATAAACATTTTTAAGTCGCTTGCGTCACATCGCTTGCAAGTACGAGGATATCACTTGAGAACTTTTTTTATAGAATAAGGGTGACTAACGAGCAGTCCACCTGATGGTAAGTGGATGCTGTGATCCATAGGTATCTCCATTTATCCGCAATTAAGAAGCAAAATGCAGATACGTTGTCACTCCTGAGGACTGAGATGGAATGCCTCGTTTCTCTACACTCACCATACGAAACACAGCAGCATTAAGCTGCTATTTTACGCTGTTATTCAGTGAGAGCGTGGTCTTACGCCGGACGAGCCGACCTAATCGTACTACATCCTCTATATGTATGTATGTATGTATATATATATATATATATATATATATATATATATATATATATATATATAGCTGCAACATAGCATGGTAAAATATCCTAATTATGTGTTTATGATAAACGATCACTACTAACCTGACCATTCTGTTGCAACTGGTGAACGCGATACACGCAATATCCACACGTAAACATGACGAGGAGTAACTGCAAAGTTCGAAAACATTAGGATTTTCACATGCTAGAACCAATGTAATTACATTTGTTAGTGACTGCAATCATACTGTTTTACGTGGTAAAGGCGCGCCGCAGCTATAGTATGGTTGTAGCACGAATGAGTTGAATCGATTTGGAAGGACTATGCCCACACATAAAATACCAGAATAACAGCTTAATGTATTTCATCTTTATATTTTATTTTTTAACAGTGGTAGAGCCACGCGGCAGCTTTCGCTGTCGCATGGATGGGCCGGCTCGAACCGGGGTGGTACCACGACCTCACAGAATACCAGCGTGAAGTAGAGGTTTACCTCTGCGTTTCGCTTGGTGAGTGCAGGTGGCCGGAGGCCCTTTTTACTGGAAATGAGGCATTCCATCTTAGTCTTCACGGGTGACATCTTATCTGCATTTTGATTTGTAATAGAGGATAGATGTAGATGTCTATGGGCCGCAGCAACCACTTACCATCAGGGGGACTGTGTGCTCGTTTGTCACCCTTATCCTATAAAAAAAATCTTAGTTTTCAGTAGGAACAAAGCATTTTGAATTTTAATTAACAATAGGTGTCTATGAGCCAAAGCATTTACTATCCATCACGTGGTCTTTGTGCTCGTTTGTCATCCTTACTGCTACAGTAAAATCAAACTTTAATGAATGTAAATGACCGTTTTGAAATTTTGAATACTAAAGGGATTATATATACATATGCTTAAGAACTCACGGTAAACTCTTTTATTTTCATTTATTAATAGAGCGAATGAATCCAATTGCTGAATATATCCCTAATATATTTCCTCATAGCAGAATATTTGCCATAGTTGCCACATGTTAGCCTAGTAAGCAGTCGCAGTTTTTACTATTTAGAGGAAAATGAGACATGTATCATCTCCTATTTATACTAAAAACTAAACTCTCATATGACTGCTATATAATACGCAGGTAACATAGGGGGTGTTGGTAAATAGAATACGTAAATAGAATGAAGACGTAATATTTTACTCACCAAAATTATAAGCAGCAATATATCCACATAAATAATAATCATTTTACAAAACACGTCACTACAAACTTTACAATCACCTAGAGAACATTTTAAAAAGAACTTTTAAGCATTAGAAAAACAGTAGCCTGTATTACGAAACTTTAATAAGATTCCTCTAACGTAAATAAAGAGGTTAGTACCTCTTATTAGTAGATAGAATTTCACTACAGATTTATCATTGGATAAAATACTCCTATAATATTTGTTACTGGCTCGTGCAGCATCGTAGAACTAGATCCACCAATAGGATGTTGTTATGGAATTCAGTTGAGGCAACAGCAACGTTATTGTCAAAGATTAAGCATTGAACGTGATATTGAGCTGTGACAAAAAGGTATCAAGTAGAGAATAAAGATGACAAACGAGCACACATGCCACCTGATGGTAAGCGGATGCTTTGATCCATAGACATCTAGATTAAGAATGAATGAAAATGCGTTGTAAACCCTGAGGACTAAGATGGTATGCCCTATTTCCTGTAATAAGTGTCTCCGGTTACTACATATGCATCACCACCCTATGCAACACATTAAGTTTCTATTTTACGCTGGTATTCTGTGAGAGAGTGGTACCTATTTCTCCGGTCGAGACGACCTATTTGTATTTTTTTTATTACTAATATTTCATTTATACAGTCCTAGTAATAGTAAGCTTCAAAAGATTGTGTTAGGGGTGGTTCACGACATTAGCCGTATGGTGGATTAGTACCCACGACCTTTTGAATTCCCGGTTCACACACTGCAAATATACATTTAGGCGGCTACTGTCGTCTAAATGTATATTTCTTTACGTTGGTATTTAAAAAAAAATAGCTTAAACCAATTTAGATATTGGTTTAAAATGGTTCAGACTGATCGATTTAGATTATGTATTAAGATGTTATTATTACCAGGACAAGACCAGCATATACGGAACAAGTATTTGTATAGCCTAAAAATGATTGAACCGGTTCAGGATGTTTGTCCTTGTAAATTTATGTATCAGAACTACACCCGCGATACAGTAGAAACTACTAGTATGGAGATAACGCTCTAAAAAAATTAAGTCTAACAGCATAAAAAAGTCCATTGCTGGACGTAGGCTTCTCTTGTAGGAAACATTTTTTATACAATTTATTCTAACTTGCACCATAATTCTACATCTAAGGCAGTTTTATTAACTCTACTTTTTACAACTTAACTAACGACAACGCGTAAAATAAGAAATGTAAAACTTGTTAATTTTATAATGATTTCGTAGGCATCTTATATTGCTGATGTGTCCGCACATAGCATAATCTTTGAACCCTCCCTGAAAGTTGGCGCCAGGGTTGTCGCGACGTCTGTCTCCCTTGGCCGCGTTGTATAATGATCTATACTTCCATCCCTAAAGAGATATCATTGTGGTGCAGTGTTAAAAACAACAATAACGTAGAGTTTCATTAAGGAATGTATTTGCATTTAAATATGTTTATATATTTACGTGGTAGATCCATGCTGCAGCTATATTATTGGTAGATATAGTTTTAGCACGAATGGGTCGGCTCGACCAGGGAAGAGCAGCTTATTGCTGCTATTTTATGGTCAATGTATCTAACCGGAGACTTTTTTAATTTAAACGAGGCATTCCATCTTAGTCCTCGCGGGTGACAACGCATCTACATTTTGATTCATAATCGAGGATAGATGTAGAAGATGTCTATGGGCCTCAGCAACTACTTACTATGAAGTGGACTGTGTGCTCGTTTGTCACCCTAATACTATATAAAAAAAAAACAAAAAGATGTTAATGAGCGCTGCGACATTTTTAAAAATAGAACACCTAACTATCAGGAATATCTATAAAGAAAGGAATCTGTCTCCCTGGATTAATTATTATTTAAATACTAAAAATAAATGCAATACGTAAGAGGTTTTCCCCTTACCGTCACGGCCTATTAAAGTCCACTGCTGAACATTGGTTTCGCCCTTAGCTTGCCTCATAGGGGGGATATTTGCCATAGTTGCCACGCTTGGCAAGTGGGTTGGCAACCGCAGTATTTACACGGGATACAGGTTTTTTTTTAAAGTGGGTATTCTTACACCGCCACTACAAGGGTACCGTACCGTGCAGTAGCGGTGTACGAATATCCACTACGACATATCATACCGTGGGTGTCGTATTAATCAACAGAGGAAAACCAATCAGGAGATGGGTAACAGTTTTTTTCTAATAACGACATTATTATTAACATCGATATAAGATCCATGTCGATGTATGCGGCTTAACTGAGAGTTCGCATTGAATTTGAACCAATGAAATTGTTATTTAATTTCAATAATTTTAAGTTTTAATTTACCACGTGATCATTGGTGAAGGTAATATCGTGAGGGAAACTGCTTCAGAAATAAAATATTTTGAAGAGAGCTGCAGTCCGCCAACAAGCTTTGGCGTAGCGCGGTAGACTATTTTTATAGGATAAGGGTGACAAAGGAGCACACAGTCCACCTGATGGTAAGTGGTTGCAGTGACCCATAGACATCTACATCTATCCTCTATTAAAAATCAAAATGCAGATGCGTTGTCATCCGTGAGGACTAAGATGGAATGCCTCATTTCCAGTAAAAATGGTCTCCGGTTTTCCACACTCACCATACGAAACACAGCAGCGTTAAGCTGCTATTTTACGCTGGTGTACTGTGAGAGGTGGTCCTTCCCCGGTCGAGCCGACCTATTCGTGCTACAACTATACTATTAATATAGCTGCAGAATGGCTCTACCACGTAAAAACTATATGACTATATGCTTCATAACCCTATCAGTGTTGAGATAAGGTCTATGCCCAGCAGTGGGATGTATAAAGCCTGTACGTCACTTTACTGTTTAACTGTCTCGTTGGTCTAGTAATCGTAAACGCAATGATCAGCATGAGGTTCGGGATCAAATCCCGGTTCGGGTCAAAATCAGTTATTAGGTTGTTCTGTCTAGAAACTGTCGATAGCAGCCCGGAGTTAGAAAGTTTGCGGTGTTTCCTCCCGTGCCGCGGGAAGCAAGTAAAGCCGTTGGTCCTGCGCCTGATCTCTCTGCGGTCATGTCGTATTACCGTCCCATCAGAGTGAGAGTGAGGAAATGGAGAGTACACCTGTGCTTGTGCATAAACTCGGGCATTATTATCTTGTCCTGCGGAAATGGCTAATCTCCATTGAAACTGACCGGCATGAGTACATATTGATCTAAATGCATTGAGTTATGTGTACTACGTACTAGAGAAGCCATTACAAACAAAAAATGTGCACTACTCTATGTCTTCGCGCATGTACGGGAGATAGTAGAGTCGCGCATTCGCAGTTGATTTAAGCGCGTTGCGCCTGCGCGGTCAGTTTTTAATTTAAACTTTAATTTGAAATCTTGTATTATTAGAACCACTCGACACTGCATGTATATTGAAACAGACTAACTAGTAGATTGAAACCACACTAAACGATACACTGTACGGATTACAGTACAGTTCAGTTGAACATAGTGTGTGTTCGGAATGCGAAATCTAGTACGTAGTACATATAACATATCGATGTCTAAATGATATTATTATTACTTTTTATGTACATATAAGGGACATTATACTCATATTTTAAGAAAACAGTTTGTCTGATTAACTCAAGTAGTTACTGCTTCCTCTATAAACCTATAAGTTCCTGTGATACTATAAACTTCCTAGAGCTGAGTCTTTATAGGTCAAATCTCCGGCGAATAGGGCGCCTCATCCGCTTATAACTTCATTCGGAATTTAGCTATAGTGGCGTTTGGTGCTTTGTTCGACAGGTAAAATTATGTATTACTTTTGCAAACTTTTCTTTTTTCTATTTTTGAAGAGAAAACTTCTTTGAAATATTTTTTGTTTTGAAAGTCGACACTTAAAAGGGAGAATGAGACAGAATACAGTATACAGTGTTCCTAATATCTCAGTCTTCCTTTCTTAAGGTGTCACTTCTACCACGTGTGAACACATGTTTTTTTTATGGGGCAATGCCTACGCATACCCGCTTACGGGGATAAGGGCGTTCTATGTCGTAATTGTACCATGCATTGTAATAAGCCTTGTTGACAACATATGTACCCTTTAAATTAAACTAACTTTACGGATTTGTCGATTCAACTCATTAGTGCTACAATCATATTATAGCTGCGGCGCGTCTTTACCACGTAAAACAGTATGATTACAGTCACTAACAAATGTAATTACATTGGCTCTAGCATGTGAAAATCCTAATGTTTTCGAACTTTGCAGTTACTCCTCGTCATGTTTACGTGTGGATACTGCGTGTATCGCGTTCACCAGTTGCAACAGAATGGTCAGGTTAGTAGTGATCGGTTATTATAAACACATAATTAGGATTTTTTACCATGCCATGTTGCAGCTATATATATATATTGAGGTTGTATTACGAAGAGGTCGGCGCGACCGGGGTAAGACTACGCTCTCACTGAATAACAGCGTATAATAGCAGCTTAATGCTGCCGTGTTTCGTATGGTGAGTGTAGAGAACTGGAGACCATTTTTACTGTAAACGAGGCATTCCATCTCAGTCCTCAGGAGTGACAACGTATCTGCATTTTGATTCTTAATTGAGGATAAATGGAGATACCTATGGGTCGCAGCATCCACTTACCATCAGGTCGACTGTGTGCTCGTTAGTCACCCTTATTCTATAAAAAAAGTTCTCAAGTGATAGACTCGTACTGACGCAAGCGACGTAAAAATGTTTATATCGCCACAGAATTACAGCGACATATTGGAAATAATAATTCCCATTCAAATTACTAAATATTACTATTACACACGTACTAAATAGTTATAGACGTTGCCGAACGTGACGAGAAGGAATCGCACTCAGCATTTGGCATGGCGAACCATAGCCGCTGTTTTGCAATAAGGCCCGTTTTGTCTGTTTCGAGTATTTCGATCAGTGGTCTCGATCTTAATAATTTTAAAATAAATGATAACAATAAATAGCAAAACAATAAACACATGATGAGAATAGACT